ATAGAAAAATCAGGCTCTCTCTGTATCAGAAAGAATGCTAACAGGACAAGCAAGCTGCTGTCCAGGCACAGCAAGAGGGGAGCTGAAGAGGGGGGCATGTTATCTATACATTCCAAGAGAGAGATAAGCCACAGACACTGGTACAACACAGCCCAGTGCCTTCCTTCTAGGGAAGGAGCCCCCCTCTCCCGCCTGTCAGGTCAAAGTTAGGCCCCTTGATTGATGAATGTAAGCTATGCTGCTCCTAGAAATACACAGAGACAGGCCTTTTGCAGTTGGAAAATAGAACTTGATATTTCTGTGATGCTAAGGTGATGTAGTGAATGAGGTCAATGTATGTAGAAACATGTTTCTTTGTTTGCTTGCATTTGAAGGGTATAAAAGGCATAGGTAAAGGTAGTCCCCTGACATTAAGTCCAGTCATGTCTGACTCTGGGGTGTGGTGCTCATCTCCATTTCTAAGCCGAAGAGCCAGCATTGTCCATAGACACCTCCAAGGTCATGTGGCCGGCATGACTGCATGGAGAGCCGTTACCTTCCCGCCGGAGAGGTACCTATTGATCTACTCACATTTGCATGTTTTCGAACTGCTAGGTTGGCAGAAGCTAGGGCTGACAGCGGAAGCTCACGCCGCTCCCCAGAATCGAACCTGCGACCTTTCGATCAACAAGCTCAGCAGCTCAGTGCTTTAACCCACTGCGCCACCAGGGGCTCCATAAAAGGCATAGTCAGCGCTTATATCGGGCTCTGGATGCTTTTGGACATAGTCAACTCCAGGGTCCCAGCTGGAAATACAATCCGTGCTTTTGAGATCTCCAGACCTCTCTTTGTCTCTTTTCCTGAAACCTTCTCCCTGCCATTTCAGTTTCCAACTTCGTGACCTCTTGGACCAGCCCACGCCAGAGCTCCCTGTCGGCCATCACCACCCCCAGCCATATAGCCCGAAAAAACCTACAACAACCCAAATGAAACAGTAGATCCCATCCTCAGCCGCTGCAAGAATATCGCGCAGAAACACTGATCTACACTATGTAGGATTCATGCTATTTGGCACCACTTTAATTGCCATGGATAACTGCTCTGGAAATCTGGGAGTTCTGGTTTGGCAATACACCAGTGCTCTTAGGCAGAAAACACTGAATACCTTGTAAAACTCCAACTTCCATGGTTCCATAGCATTGAGCCATGGAAGGTAAAGCAATGCCAAACTGCATTAATTCTACAATATAGACTCACTCTAAGCTAAGCATATTCGGCTCTCTCAGACATACCACCACAATCTGGACTCAGCTATTTGTCATATGGTCAGTATGGCAACTTTATCCCAAACTTTGACTTTTCACTTTCCTGCTGCCATAGGAGAACCAAATATTATTTGAGAACACAGAAGTGCTTGACCACTCTCACAACCACCATGTCAGACTACACAGAGGAGCCACTGAAATCCACAAGCATGTGGACAATTTAAACAGAAAGGAAGAAACCATGAAAATGAACAAAATCTGGCTACTAGTATTAAAAAAATTCAAAAATTACAACAGCAAAACAACAGAGGGTAAACAAACAGGCACATAAAATCACTCTCAACAAAAGATTCCCCCCAGGCACTTCCAAGCCATTAAATGCTAATCAAGGTGATCAGCTGAAACATTCACATCTAGCCCCAGCAGGCAAGAGTCCTTTGTCCTACCCTGGTCATTCCACAGATATATAAGTCCTTTTTCCTAGTTGCAACAGACCTCACTACCTCTGAGGATGCTTGCCATAGATGCAGGCGAAACATCAGGAGAAAAATTGCCTCCAGAACATGGCCATATAGCCCGGAAAAACCTACAACAACACAGAGAACCAAATAGCTGCTGTTTGCCTCTCTTCTTTAAGCTCCTTTTACTTTAAGAAAAAACAGGGAGTAGATCCAAAACCCAACAGAGGGGGGCAGGGAACCCAATACCTAAGACATTGGAGACACACATGCCTCTTTCATCATCTCTCCTACAAGGTCCCTATTGATGACAGTGTGGTAACATCCTCAGGGCAACCTAGATGAACGTCCAGTTCTTCTTATACTTGGAAGAACATTTTTCTCCCCGAGTATTCACACCCGGGAGCAGGGGGGCTACTTTGCATTTCCTTTCCCAGTGCCTTTGAGAGATTTTTCACATCTATGCCTGCTGCCATCTCCTCTTGAAACATCCTGCTTCGGGCAGGCAGAAGGAAGGTCCCTTCATCTCCAAACTCTTGAAGAGCTGAGGCTGAATGTTTGAATTGTTACCCTTTAGAAGGAGCAGAAGGCGGAAAGAAAGAACATAAGTTTGGCTGTTTCCATAGGATAAGGGGCAGTTGGGGTGCATTGCCAGTATGGTATGTTTGATTTAATGTATTTTTATGTATTCATGCTTAAGTCTAGAAACTTTGGCTTAAAAAACCAACCCTAAAAAACTGAATCGAGTTTGCCAGTGCCATCAAAGAGCTTTAAGAGAACCTGAAATGCACATTGACCCATCCACTCTCTCCACCATTATGTCATTTGGCAAAAATACAGAATGGGGGACGATGAGGCCTGGCTCGAGAGCAGTATGTGTGAAAAAGATCTTGGAGTCCTCGTGGACAACAAGTTAAACATGAGCCAACAATGTGATGTGGCGGCAAAAAAAGCCAATGAGATTTTGGCCTGCATCAATAGGAGCATAGCGTCTAGATCTAGGGAAGTAATGCTCCCCATGCTCTATTCCGCTTTGGTTAGACCACACCTGGAATATTGTGTCCAATTCTGGGCACCACAATTGAAGGGAGATATTGACAAACTGGAATGTGTCCAGAGGAGGGTGACTAAAATGATCAAGGGTCTGGAGAACAAGCCCTATGAGGAGCGGCTTAAGGAGCTGGGCATGTTTAGCCTGAAGAAGAGAAGGCTGAGCGGAGATATGATAGCCATGTATAAATATGTGAGAGGAAGCCACAGGGAGGAGGGAGCAAGCTTGTTTTCTGCTTCCCTGGAGACTAGGACGCGGAACAATGGCTTCAAACTACAAGACAGGAGATTCCATCTGAACATGAGGAAGAACTTCCTGACTGTGAGAGCCGTTCAGCAGTGGAACTCTCTGCCACGAGTGTAGTGGAGGCTCCTTCTTTGGAAGCTTTTAAACAGAGGCTGGATGGCCATCTGTCAGGAGTGATTTGAATGCAATATTCCTGCTTCTTGGCAGGGGGTTGGACTGGATGGCCCATGAGATCTCTTCCAACTCTATGATTCTATGATTTCTTACCTCTTTTAATGTCTAGGTGGAGAAATGGTGGCAATGCTGAATGACCTTATCCACATGTCATATCAAAATCTATAATTTTGCACCAAAACATGCCCTCAATACAAGAGGTTGACTGATACATGATCATTTATATGCTGCCTTTCTCTTAGTATGCGACCCATGCTTTGAGTGTTGGACTAGGAAACCGGGGTTTGAATCCCCATTTGGCCATGATCTTGGACCAGTTATACCAGTAAAGCCCACCAGTGAGTACTTGGGCCAAAATGCCCCCTATTCCTTCCACAGTTGCCTACTCTTGGTTTAGAGGTGGTCCTGACATACATTTAGCTTTAGAGAGTATATTTGTGACTTGCTCTGGAGATGACCATCTCTACTTGAAGGCTGATGAACAAGTCACACTCTGAAGGTGCATCTACACTAGGCATGGGCCAACTTGGGCCTTCCAGGTGTTTTGGACTTCAACTACCACAATTCCTAACAGCCTACCAGCTGTTAGGATTAGTTTGAGTTGAGGTCCAAAACACCTGGAGGGCCCAAGTTGGCCCATGCTTGATCTACACAGTAAAATTAATCCAGTTTGACTCTACTTTGACCGGTATGGCTCAATACTATGAAATTATTTTTATTCTCCTTCATCAGAGGTAATGTGTACTAAATCACAGATCCCAGGAGCCATAGGACTTAAAGTGGGGTCAAACTACAATATTTTGATAGTGTTGATGCACTCCAAGTGTTGTATGACTGGAGATCTCAGACTTTTTCTTCATCAGCAAGGCTCAGTAGTGCTACTGGATGTTACAGTTGAGTGATATTATTGATATGGGTTGTTGTAGGTTTTTTCGGGCTATATGGCCATGTTCTAAAGGCATTTTCTCCTGACGTTTCACCTGCATCTATGGCAAGCATCCTCAGAGGTAGTGAGGTCTGTTGGAACTAGGGAAAAGGGTTTATATATCTGTGGAATGATCAGGGTAGGACAAAGGAGTCTTGTCTGCTGGAGCTAGGTGTGAATGTTTCAACTGATTACCTTGATAAGCATTTGATTGCCTGGCAATGACTGGAGCAATCTTTTGTTGAGAGGTGATTAGATGTCCTTGTTTGTTTCCTCTCTGTTGTTTTGCTGTTGTGATTTTAGAGGGTTTTTTAAAATACTGGTAGCCAGATTTTGTTCATTTTCATGGTCTCTTCCTTTCTGTTGAAATTGTCCACATGTTTGTGCATTTCAGTGGCTTCTCTGTGTAGTCTGACATGGTGGTTGTGAGAGTGGTCCAGCATTTCTGTGTTCTCAAATAATCTGCTGTGTCCAGGTTGGCTCATCGTGTGCTCTGCTATGGCTGACTTCTCTGGTTGAAGTAGTCTGACGTGCCTTTCATGTTCCTTGATTCGTGTTTGGGCAATGCGGCTGCATTTGGTGGTCCCACTGTAGACTTGTCCACAGCTGCATGGTACACGGTAGACTCCTGCAGAAGTGAGAGGATCCCTCTTGTCCTTTGCTGAACGGAGCATTTGTTGGATTTTCTTGGTGGGTCTGTAGATAGTTTGTACATTGTGTTTCCTCATCAGCTTCCCTCTGCGGTCAGTGGTTCCCTTGATGTATGGCAAGAACACTTTTCCTCTGGGTGGATCTGGGTGGATTATTGATATGCTTCTATGACTCTATAGATATCTGGTGAAACACCTAAAGGTTGAGGATGTTGTCACACATCTATCTTCCTTTCTCTCGTTCTTCTCCAGAAGGAATGACAGACGTGGTAAGGTCAGCCCGGGACTGCCTCCAGGCCGGGGAATCCTGCACCAATGATCCCAGCTGCAGCTCTAAGTTTCGGACCCTCCGGCAATGCATCGCTGGCAATGGGGCCAACAAGCTGGGGCCAGATGCCAAGAGCCAGTGCCGGAACACCGTCACGGCTCTCCTTTCCAGTCAATTGTATGGTTGCAAGTGCAAACGAGGCATGAAGAAGGAGAAGCACTGTCTCAGCGTCTATTGGAGCATCCACCACACCTTGATGGAAGGTCAGTCCAATGGGTTGCACACCGTGGAGGGTAAGGAGAGATTTCATTTCTGTTTATGGCTTTGGGGGAGAGAATAATAATTTACTCAAAAGTTTTTGCAAAGATCAGTCAAACTGATGGTTCAACATGGATGGTATGGAGAGATGAAAATTTCATTTCTGTTAATGGATTTATGGGAGAGAATAAGAATTTACCACCCTAAATTTGTAAAGTTCATTCCAATGGATTTTACACCATGGAGGGTAGCGAGAGATGAACATCCCATTTCTCTTTGTGGATTTGGAGGAGGCATTAACAATTTACCCATTTTTTGCAAAGGCCAGTCTAATGGATTGGTCAACATAGACAGTATAGAGATGAAAATTTCCTTTCTGTTAATGGATTTGAGAGAGAGAATAAGAATTTACCCCCCAAAATGTGTAAAGTGCTTTCCAATTGTCTTCACACTGGAGTTGTGTGAGGAACCATTTTCTTTCGGTACATCTGTTATCTCATCACTTTCATTACCTTTGGGAGCACATAACGGGATGGCCCCTCCCGGTAAGAAAATCAGCTCAATACAAAAGCAAGAGGGAGCCAATCTCAACTGATCGGTTGCTTTTTCTGAGCACGTGGCACTCCATGCCTCTTTGCCTTGGAAAGAGTGCATGTATGGCATGCAGGCCCAGAAAGCATGTGCACCTGCCTGCAGCCGAGCACCTCCTCTAGAGTATGAATGAGAACTTGCCTCCTTGACTTGGAAAGAATGTGTGCATGTGTGGTGTGCAGGCCCATAAAGTGCCTGTGCCTGCCTGCAGCCCAGCGCTTCCTCTAGAGTATGAATGAGAACTTGCCTCCTTGACTTGGAAAGTGTGGGGGGGCCATGCAGGCCCAGAAAGTGTGTGCGTTTACCTGCAGCCGAGCACCTCCTCTAGAGTAAAAATGAGAACTTGCCTCCTTGCCTTGGAAAGTGTGTGTGCGTGTGTGGTGTACAGGCCCAGAAAGTGTGTGCATCTACCTGCAGTCGAGCACCTGCCTGCAGCTAAGTGTCTGCTCTAGAGTAAAAATGAAAACTTGCCTCCTTGACTTGGAAAGAATGTGTGCATGTGTGGCGTGCAGGCCCATAAAGCTCCTGTGCCTGCCTGCAGCAGAGCGCTTCCTCTAGAGTATGAATGTGAACTTGCCTCCTTGCCTTGGAAAGAGTGTGTGCATGTGTGGTGTGCAGGCCCAGAAAGTGCGTGCATCTACCTGCAGCTGAGCACCTCCTCTAGAGTAAGAATGAGAACTTGCCTCCTTGGCTTGGAAAGAGTGTGTGCATATGTTGTGTGCAGGCCCAGAAAGTGCGTGTCTACCTGCAGCCGAGCACCTCCTCTAGAGTAAGAACAAGAACTTGCCTCCTTGACTTGGAAAGAGTGTGTGCATGTGTGGTGTGCAGGCCCAGAAAGTGTGTGTGTCTACCTGCAGCTGAGCACCTCCTCTAGAGTAAGAATGAGAACTTGCCTCCTTGAGTTGGAAAGTGTGTTGGGGGGGCATGCAGGCCCAGAAAGTGTATGTGCCTGCCTGCAGCTGAGTGCCTGCTCTAGAGTAAAAATGAGAACTTGCCTCCTTGCCTTGGAAAGGGTGTGTGCGTGTGTGGTGTGCAGGCCCAGAAAGTGTGTGCATCTACCTGTGGCCGAGCACCTCCTCTAGAGTAAGAATAAGAACTTGCCTCCTTGACTTGGAAAGAATGTGTGCATGTGTGACGTGCAGGCCAATAAAGCGCCTGTGCCTGCCTGCAGCCGAGCGCCTCCTCTAGAGTAAGAATGAGAACTTGCCTCCTTGACTTGGAAAGTGTAGGGGGGGGGCGTGCAGGACAGAAAGTGTCTGTAACTGTCTGCAGCTGAGCGCCTGCTCTAGAGTAAGAATGAGAACTTGCCTCCTTGCCTTGGAAAGAGTGCGTGCATGTGTGGTGTGCAGGCCCAGAAAGTGCATGTGTCTACCTGCAGTCGAGCACCTCCTCTAGAGTAAGAACAAGAACTTGCCTCCTTGACTTGGAAAGTGTGTGGGGGAGCGTGCATGTCCAGAAAGTGTATGCACCTGCCTGCAGCTGAGCATCTGCTCTAGAGTAAAAATGAGAAGTTGTCTCCTTGCCTTGGAAAGAGTGTGTGAGTGCGTGTGGTGTGCAAGCCCAGAAAGTGTGTGTGCCTGCATGCAGCCAAGTGTCTGCTCTAGAGTAAGAATGAGTGTGTGCATGTGTGGTGTGCAAGCATGCCTGCCTGTAGCCAAGCACCTCTCCTCTAGAGTAGATAAAGCTAAGAAGCCTCCTTAAAGCATGCACCTGCCTGCAGCTGAACACTTCTCCTCTAGAATAAAAAAGTTTTAAATGCCTAAAATGAAGGGGAAGAGGAGCCTGGGAACCCCCCCCCCCCCTCATAATGGGTCAATAGTTATGGGTCTTTCAGCACCCCAGAGCAAAAACAGATATTTGCCCTCCCGATTTCAGGAGGCTCCTGAAAATGAATTGGGGCCCCCACCGAAACCTGGCACATGATACAAGTCAAGGTTTACCTCAAATGCACAAGCCTACTTCACACCATGGAGGGTAGGCAGAGATGAACACTTCATTTCTCTTTATGGATTTGTGGGAGACAAAACAATTTACCCAGAAATGTTTGCAAAGGGCAGTCCTACATGGAAGATAGGGAGAGATGAAAAGCTTATTTACATTTTTGGTTTGGGGGCAGAAAACAAGAATTAAACTACCCAGATTTTGTAATGATCAGTCCAACATCCCAGGCAAAGGCAAACTAATGGAGTCTCTTCTAGTTCGTGTATTCTTCCCCATTAACAACTATGGCATGTCCATGTTTTCATCTGTGAAATGTTGGGAGGTATTTCTGTGCCATTTTAAGATGCTTAGCTATGGGACTGGAAATTAGTATTTTAATAAATAATGCAAGATTTTAAATTAAATTCAATTAAATTTGGAAAGTGTGGGGGAATATAGCAAAATTGGCATATTTATCTGTCCAAGGTCAGTTGCTTTCAGTCTTCTAGATGTGATTTTCAGTGAATTCAATTCCATATTCTGTGTTGGTAGTGTTGAATTAGGATGGTCACTCAGGACATAAAAATGTTGTCAGCCTTCGGTGAGAGTGAAAAGACTAGCACTTCTTTTGTTTCCTTGTTCTGCTCGCAGTGATTTTGCCATAATTAATCGACGTAATTAACACACAGTTAATTAAAACAATGGAAATAATGGCTGGGCTCGTCAGGCTACAATGACAGGGCTCTGTTGTTGCAGGACGTTATCACTTTAGCCTATTGTTTCATGGAAATCACATTGCTGAAGCAAGTGAAAGAATAGCATTATTGGAAACAGCCATTGCATAAGCCATTGCACTATGCCGTGATACAAATTCAGTCTTCCACGTAGCCTCTCTTCCTGCTCTATCCAGCACATTGTACTATATTTTTTTTCTATTTTGCCACCACTAAGTAATCACACAATTTCAGCATTCTCACAACAACTTCCTCCACTTTGAAATATTTCTTACTTACTTACTTACTTACTTAGGCGGTCCCTCATCGTCCGAGTTAGATAGTCTTCCAAGATCGGTGGCGGTGGGTCCGTAGGTGACTGTGGAGCCCTATTCTTGACCTGCATCTCCTCCTGCAGTGAGGGCATTTGTGCTGGTATGGCTGTACCAGGAGCTTCAGCTTCATTTTCTTTCTATTGAGTGTTTGCATATATTCCAAGGTTCCATGCATTTGCAACAAGGTGGCTTCCCTTGGTTTGCAATCATAGGGCCAGCCACCCATCTATCATTGTTAAGTTTTGGTTCCGCCCCTTTCCCCAGGGCCATGAGAAGAGAGGGAGCCATTTTTAGTTCAGTTTTATAGTGGAAAGCTAAGCTACAGGACGTGGATTAGCTCCAGCCATAGAAAAGCTTCATTTCCTACAGCATCCGGGGCAGAAATTCCGGGGAAAAACAGTCCCAAAGCTCTGGCTGGGAGCTTACAGCCTCTCAGCTTTACAACATCTGAGGGAAACAAGTCTTAAAGTTTCGGAAGAAAACAGTTTGACAGATCCAAAGAACTCCAGCTGGAGAATCTACATAGCCTTGACTTGGGTCTACTCGGGACCCAAGACGCAGATTGGAACCGGTAGTAGAACCCACATCAGCAAAGCTTAGACAGTAGATTGTCTGGGAGGGGTTAAAAAAGGGTTTTCCTTGTTAAGGAAAGAAATAGTTCTCCAAGCAAGGTGCCTGCCCATTTTGGGGCAAGTTAAGAAGCATTTGTTTAATCTGTTGAAGATCCAAGAAGTGTTTGTTGTTTTATTGAAGACCTAAGCAATAATAAAGGACTTTATTAAACATTTCAAGCCTTTTAAAGACTGTGTATGGGAAAATCCTTGAAGGCCTCTCACCCGTGGCACTCCGGCTCCCCGCTGGGCACAAAGAGCACGTCCTGTTTAAAAAATCAATTATTACAGGCCCAGCGCATGGCAGCACAGCATTGGTTTCCAGGTGGAAGATGGTCCCAGTTGGGGTTGGCTTAATGCACTTTCCTCTTGGAACGTTTCTCTCTTTTGCCCTCCATTCTTGCCTCTTCATATTCTACAGTACTGCTGGTCACAGCTGACCTCCAGCTGGAGTGCTCAAGGGCCAGGGATTCACAGTGTCTATGCCAGAGTTTTTAAGGTTGGCTTTCAGCCCCTCTTTCAATCTCTTTAAATCTCTTTTCCTGCCCACCAACATTCCATTTTCCGTTCTTGAGTTCGGAGTAGAGCAACTGCTTCGGGAGACGGTGGTCGGGCATCCGGACAACGTAGCCAGTCCAGCAGAGCTGATGGCAGAGGACCATCGCTTCAATGCTGGTGGTCTTTGTTTCTCCCAGCATGCTGACATTTGTCCACCTGTCTTCCCAAGAAATTAGCAGGATTTTCTGGAGGCAGCACTGATGGAATCATTCCAGGAGTTGCATGTGACGTCTGTAGATAGTCAACGTCTCGCAAGCGTATGGCAGGGTTGGGAGGACAATGGCTTTATAAACAAGCGTCTTGGTAT